ATCGTGTACTTTGTATAGGCTTTTTTAAATTAAAATTGACTCTCGTTTTTGTCAATAGCTTTAAGAAATAAATAAATAAAATAAATAAATAGACCCCACGCCTTGTCGCAGCGTCGATTCTGTGTGTCTCAACGGATCTGTTGGATCTACCTTCAGATTGTCGACTCTCTCTGTCTGTCTTTGTCTCTGGCTCTCTTTCTCTCTCGCATTCGATCCCTGTCTTGGCACTTGATTGCTCGGCGTTGTGCGTCTTCGTCAAAATGTTGCACTTGAGGTTATCTAAGGAAAATCATTAAACACACATACACAAATACAAATACAAAAATACAAACACAAATACATCCGTCGCATTGATAAGTATGAAAATCAGTTTTGCTGCCTCGTTCTCGGTTGTACTTTGTCTATCTATCTCGTTTTTACTCACAGTTTTCATGATTTGTTTGTTCTATTTGTTACTTTTCTGCTCCATTTCCAAAAATCGTTTTTCAGAAGATTTACATTTATTATAATCTAGATATATCGATCCCCAGGAGAAGATTTGAATTTTTTTTTTTTAAATTTAAGATTTGTTTATATAATAATTTTATATGTATATGTTATCTGGAATTTTATGAAATATCTCTAATATCAAAGGCATAAACAGAAACCTGAAGATCTATCCCCACTGGGCATGGGTATAATTTGAGAACTAACTACGGCGTATGATTTGGAGAAGCCAAGCTCTCAAGTATTGCAAACAATTCTTTGAAAACAAACAGCCATAAACTGATACCTTTACGTGATATGTTGAATCGATTTAGCTGACTCCAATATTTAATGTAAGCAATTCAAAGTCAAGCCTATCAAGAGGTCTCCAAACTATAGACTACTCATGCATAGAATAAATGGAGCTAATACCAATTTCGCATTATTAGCTGAGTTAACAGAGCCTGATACTGACCTGCCCCATTACGGGTATGTGTAGGTCGAGCACATCCGAGTCGGGCCAAAAGTCCCTTGGAAATCTTTCACTTTGTTCGTCCCACAGTCGCAAAAGTCGCAAAGTCGCTTTGCCGTGACCTTTTCAGAGCCATCTTCAGCTGAATTACACAATCGGGCAGCTCATCTAAATATACATATATATTTATATAGATATATGTATGTATACATATGTATGTATATATCTCTGCATACTGGCGATATTTTTGGCCACCCTTAGAACATTTTACACAGATTTAGAATGCAGTTTGTCGGCGCGACGACATCTCGATGCTTTTTAAATTTAGCCCACCTGGGGATTGCCTACTGAAACGGAGAAAGTGAGAGTGACAGAATTCAAAGTTTGAGGGAATGGGGGAGACGGAGGCAGACAGTGTGTGTTTGTATGCGTGTATGTGTGAGAGACAGAGAGGGACAAGGAAGAACTTTTCAGATATTTTGTATGGTTTTGAAATGCTTATCAAAGTTTTTTATTTAAAGTGCAGCCTATAGTTGTAATTTTATATATTTATTTTATAGATAATCAATAATTAAATGTGAATATTTTACATAAATATTTGCTAATATACTGCAAGTACAACAATTTTGCTGATTGTCTGTTATCCCTGAGAAGGTGTACTTCCTGAAGTTTTCACATAGAAGGAAACAAATAGTTGCAAATAGTAGGTAGCTAAAAGTAAATGTTCTTGTATTGGGAGTGCGTGACTATAGATAACATACACATTACTGTACAGCTTTGCATACAAACGGACGGACGATGGGCGAGGAGGCTGTAGACCAAGGACAAAGTAGACACACTGAAGAGGAACCCTGGGTAGGTCTCAAGCAGGTCGAATCTGATTTGACTCTCATTTTCGACAGATTTTGCTGGACTTGGCAAAACAGACGAACACAAAATGGGGACGGTGCTTGGAGTAAAGTTGAGTCAGAGCGGTCAGCCTGGGTCCATTAAACTTGAATGCAAGCAGCTGGACTGAGAAAATTAAATATTAGTATATGAATATAGTAAATATATATAGTTATGTAGCGTATCCACATAATTCCCAATTACTATCTGGAGTTATTTGAGTTCTGGGTCGTTCCTAACCTACCTTTATCATATAGAGAAAATGGGGCTACTTAGACATATGACATAACTGCCATAAATTATTGCATAAGCAAGCACATCAGGTATGCTTATTGGCTTTCATCGCGGATCATTTGCTATGTAAAAAAATAAAGAAATATAAATAAATTTTCTGTTATTTCAAGATACGTATTTCCTACGCATAGCCTATGTTGTGTTTCGGTTCCCTGGAAACAGCTGGTCGGAAATGTCAACAGCTGTAGACATAATCATACATAAATACATATATATATATATACATATATACATATGTTAAAAGTAGCTCATTTCTGCGATTACAGTTTTCTTTTGAAGAGTGTGAAATTACTTAAATAATAGTTTGATTGTTCGTTGATTTACAGCCGGGGCAATAAACAGCTGATTACCCGATATATCAGGCGAGCTATCTTGAAAATTTACAAATAAATGCTGGAAATTTGAGCTCCAAATTTTGTTATGATGTCAACAACTGGAAATTGAAATCACTCCATAAAGTACATAGAGCTTTTACACTTAGAAATCTTTAGCTCAGCTTGATTCCCCCCGCAGCACGTTGCCCCTAGGTTCTATACGATATAAACTAGCTCTGTGATAGTTTTATATATCCTATGATATGCCTATATATGTAAATAA